TGGTGATGATGCTGCATGCGCCGGACCTCACATCGTATCGAAGCAGTTGATTCATGATACAGAGTAACACTCAATATCATACATTTTGGGAAGTAATTGTATGAGGACAGATTGATCCAAACAAACCCTCAATGTGAAACACAACTCACTGATCGCCAGCTTATGTCATCAGGAGCTTTGCCCGATGCGACAAGTCGGCACGAGCACGAGCACGAGCTTAGACGGAGCATTAGCATCAGCATTAGCATCTTAGCATAGCCCATCATTCATCCATCCATCCCCTCGCTCTTGTTAGTTAGTCTCTATTGACAACCGAATACAGATCCAATTGACGCCTCGTTTCTTTCTTTTCTTTCATCCACTTCCATTCGCCGACTCATTTGTTTGTCTCATACTAGCCTATCGTTCGTTATTCATTTCAATCTCCGACGCTCGCTTCCGCGCGCACCGCAACATGCGCCAGCACCAATAGACTAGACTCGCGTACCACAGACACCACCAACAACCAACTCGATATACATCGGAGGACACCCTCCTCTAATAACGGCTTCAAATATGGCCCCGTTAAGCCCTGCCAGCGACCGTCGATACTCCGACGATTCCATCTCTTCGGCTTCGACGACAAGTCTTGTGTTCGATAGGATACAAGAGAAGACAATGATGGACGCTTCAAGAGATAACACCGATTCTCGAGCCCTCGAGGACGATGATCCCCTCAAGGAAGAGGACGATCTAGAGACGGGTCCTTTCCTCGGCCCTGGAGCTTCCCTTCATCGTGAGCCCATGGATAGAGGATTGCGACGCATTCTCATAATTGTCGGCTCTGTCTTTGTCACAGCTTGGCTCATTGGTCTCGGCACATTCCTCTATTTCGGTTCATATCATCACGAGAGCGATACCGAGCACGATCCTGATGCTGCGACTCGGGGTTCAGGAAAGGCCGTCACAATGGATCAGCTCTTTAGTGGCTTCTGGCAGGCCAAGTCACACAGTATCAGCTGGATTGGCGGTCCTGATGGAGAGGACGGTTTACTGCTTGAGGTTGGAGCGAGCGAGAAGCCATACATCGTTGTCGAGGATATTCGCAACGATAAGGAGGCTAGATCGCCCATTGATACAGAAGTTAAAGCCTCCAAGTCACGAACATTGATGAAGGACAACTTCTTTGTTTACGAAGGAAATCAATACTCTCCCGAATGGAACGAGCCCAGCCCCGATCTGAAAAAGGTCCTTCTCGGCGTCGAAAAGAAGAAGAACTGGCGTCACTCTTTCAGCGCCATCTACTTTATTCTCGATGTCGAGACTCAAGAAGCTGAACCGCTCGTCCCTGGCAAGCCTGATGCTCGAATCCAGCTCGCTACATGGAGTCCCAAGAGCGACGCAATATCATACACTCAAGACAACAACTTATATATCCGAAAGTTGGACGATAAGAAGAATGTTGTCAAGATCACCAAGGACGGTGGCCCAGAGTACTTCTACGGTATTCCCGACTGGGTCTATGAGGAAGAAGTCTTTGGTGGTCGCAGCGCTACATGGTGGTCTGAAGATGGCGAGTACTTGGCCTTCCTTCGCACAAACGAGACGGGTGTTCCCGAGTTTCCAGTCCAGTTCTTCATCAAGCGGCCCAGTGGTACCGACCCTGAAGAAGGAGAAGAGGCATACCCTGAGGTTGAGCAGATCAAGTATCCCAAGGCTGGTGCGCACAACCCAGTTGTTGACCTGCTCTTCTACGACGTGTCGAAGAAGGATGTCTTCTCTGTTGATATCGATGGGCAATTTGCCGACGATGATCGCATCATCAACAATCTTCTATGGGCCGGTGGCAAGGCTCTCGTCAAGGAGACCAACCGTGTCAGCGATATTCTCAAGGTCGTCCTGATTGACGTTGGTTCGCGCAAGGGCAAGACTGTCAACACCATTGACGTCGATAAGATTGACGGTGGTTGGTTCGAGATCTCCCACAAGACAGCTTATATCCCTGCCGATCCTGAGAATGGTCGTGATCACGATGGATACGTTGACTCTTATCTGCACGAGGGCTATGATCATCTAGCTTACTTCACTCCTCTCGATAACCCTGAACCCATCATGCTTACCAAGGGCAAATGGGAAATCGACGATGCTCCCTCAGCGATCGATCTCGCAAACAACTTAGTCTACTTCATCGCAGCCAAAGAGTCATCTATCCAGCGCCATGTCTACTCTGTCAAGCTTGACGGTACCTCTCTCGAAGCTCTGACTGACCCTGAGACTGAGGCTTACTACGATGCTTCCTTTTCCAACGGTGCTGGCTTCGTCCTCCTGTCATACCGCGGTCCCAAGGTCCCCAGCCAGAAAGTCATCTCCACACCTTCGAGTGTCTTTACCTACGAGCGTGTCGTTGAGGATAACTCCGAGCTGGCCGAGCGTGCCCGTCGCCACGAGCTTCCTGTTATGCAATACGGCACCCTCGATCTTGGTGATGGCGTTGAGGTCAACTACGTTGAAAGGCGTCCCCCTCACTTCGACCCTAAGAAGGAATACCCAGTCCTCTTCCAGCAATACTCTGGCCCAGGCTCTCAGTCTGTTACCAAGAGATTCTCAGTTGACTTCCAATCCTATGTTGCCTCAGCCCTTGGCTACCTAGTTGTCACTGTCGATCCTCGAGGCACAGGCTTCCTCGGCCGCAAGCATCGTGTGGTAGTCCGCTCTCAACTCGGTGTTCTGGAGTCGCAAGATCACATCGCCGCTGCCAAGTCGTTCGCTTCCCGTCCCTACGTCGATGCCGACCGCCTGGCCATCTGGGGCTGGTCTTATGGCGGCTTTACTACCCTCAAGACACTTGAGCAAGACGCCGGACGCACTTTCAGCTATGGCATGGCTGTCGCCCCTGTCACTGACTGGCGCTTCTACGACAGCATCTACACCGAGCGTTACATGCGTACACCACAAGAGAACGCTGATGGCTACGACATGTCCATGATCGCCAATGCCACAGCTCTCGGCAGCAACAAGCGTTTCCTTCTTATGCACGGCGTTGCCGATGACAATGTCCACTTCCAGAACTCGCTCACGCTTCTTGATGAGCTTGATCTTGCGGGTGTAGAGAACTATGATGTTCACGTTTTCCCTGATAGCGACCACAGTATTTACTTCCATAACGGAAACCGCATCGTATACGATAGTAAGTTTCACCTTTTTGACGTAGTAAACTCGGACTAACAATTGGTTTCTAGAACTTCGTAATTGGCTCATCAACGCCTTCAATGGCGAGTGGCTCAAGATTTCTAACCCAAAGCCTCACAAGGATGGCGTCGAGAAGGAGAAGCGTGAGATTGACGGAGTGTCTTTGGTTTAGCATAGCATTTTGTAACAGTGTCTGGATTGCATTATGGCAGATTCATAGTATCATGGCGTGTCATAGCGTTGCATTAAAGAGACAGGATAACAAGACAAATCAATGTACTATCATACAACATACAGCAGTCCGACAGAATACATGCGTCTGACTGCGAAATTTACTATCAGAACTTCGTCCTCCAGTCTACCACAAAAGCCCATAAGAGGTCAATCGCTCAAAATCCTCCTTCCAACGCCTCCACGCGCAACTCGCGGGAGAAGCAAAATATGATTACAGGATCTGTATCCTCGCCAATAAACTATCCTTTTCTGATATCCGTAGGCGGGTACGGCGGGTACGAATCCATTTTGAATTTATTCTCCTGCCCATGAACAAGATACTGATTATGCGCTACCGGTCCTCGGATAAAATAGGGGGGAAGGCAGCGCCACATCGGTACCGGTACCTGCATCTAGAAACCGTAGCCGGTGGGCTGCGGCGCGAAGCCGTTTGCCTGGCCATATGGTGCAGGCGAGGGTGAAGAGCCCATGCCACCAGGTCCAGCTGTGATCATGAGTCTAGAAGCGCCAAGGATTGGTGTGTTGTCGTCGGTCTTCTCCTTCTCTTGCTCCTTTGCCTTGCGTGCCTCGTTGTCTGCTTTCAGGAGGGCGAGGTCCTTTGTTTGCTGGGCGAGCATGTTGATCATGTAAGGCATAGAGAAGTCCATGAGGCCATGGCGCCATGAGAGCTCCAGAACAAGGTCAGGGCGGATGAGCTCGTAGCAAGCGTACAACATGCCAGTGTAGCATTCGCGGTGGCCAATGTCGACGAACTACAGACGTTAGTATGTTAGGGATTTCCAGGTCTCAACTGGTACTTACATATTGAAGGAGGTCGCTGACAATCTCGGTCTTGGCAGATAGGGCAGCGGTCTCGATAGCGTCCTTGTACAGCTTGTCCTGCTTAGACAAGGCAATAGACTTCTCCCATCGCTTATTCTTGCGGTAGATGGAAGCAGCAATCTGGCGGAAGAAGATGAGGTCATGCTTCTCCAGACGGCTGGCCAGCTCGGTAGCATCGTAGTTGTCATAGTTCTGGACTGAGTCACGTAGGGTCTTGTAATCCTCCTCCTCGATGAGCAGATCGTTGACAGCCTCGTTCACAACACGCTTGTTCTGAGTTTGCACGTTGAGCAGGAAAGGCTTGATAAGAGGGAGGTCATCGTTCTTCTGGAAGATCTTGACAACGCGGTTAACGTCAATACGAGGAGTAAGAGTTGCAAGAAGGTCAGTGATGAGCGAGGGATGCTGCTCAACATAGAACTTGATAGCACGGTAGTAGATCTCCAGGTTGGCAACCTTGACCACGATCTCCTTGAACTGCTGGTGGTCCCAGGAGTTCTCGGGTCGCTCGATGACGGCAAGAGCAGCGTTGTCAAATTCGTCATAATGGTAGTAACAGAAGACCAGCTCAGGCCAGAGGTTCGCTTCCTCGCAGGCCTTGATCATCTTGGGGAGATTCATGCGAGACCAAAAGATCTTGATGTGCTCCATGAGGCGGTCAGGGTGGTACTTGGAGAGAGCGATACCGAGCTCAGTGAACATTCCCATATGGGCGCGCTCAAGGCCAAGGCCTTGCTCGAGAAGGCTAATAAGCTCGTCAAAGTAACCGTTGCGCTCGTACTCCTTGACTAGGGTCTGGAGTTGCTCAGCATCGACAATCAGGTTGAGACCGCAAATCTGGGCAAGTCGGAATTCCTTCTTCTGAACACAGGCCTCGTGAACCTGCTTCCACACCTTGATGTTGTTGGCCTTGCGGGCACACTCAACGGCAGCTTGGTAATCACCGAGGTGAACAAGAGTGGTTGCCAACTTGGCCCAGTTGGAAATGCTAGTATAGAAGATCTTGGAAGCCTCGAACAAGCCCTCCTCGTAAGCCTTGTCACCAGACTCCTCAATGTTAGCAACGTTGGTAGCTCGGAGGAAGTCCTCAAGCTCGGAGAGCTGGTCAAGGCGAGCATAAGAGAAAGCCAGAGCAGTGTCGATAGCAGGCTCGCGGAGGGTCTTGCGGCACATGCGCAAGTACTTGACAAGGTCCTCGTTCTTGCCGGCGTGGGTAGCAACTTCAATGACCTCCAGGTAGTTGCGGGGGTCCTCGGCCTTAATGTAGGACTCGATAGCATCAGAAACACGAAGACCATCAAGCTGAGCCTTGGCAACCTTGCTCCAGACCTCGGGCAGGTCAACTTCTTCGGCATAACCCTGGGCACGGTCGATGCTGACCACGTTCTCGATCAGGACGTCAACAGCAGCAGACTTGTTATCGGCCTTCTTGTAAATCTCGAAAGCTTCCTCAAAGAGGCCAACCTCAATACAGGCGGTGGCGATCTCATCGGCGTTGTAGTTGTCGAGCTTGTGAATGTAATCCATGACACGTCCCTTATCAGCCTTGGCAGCAGTGAACATAAGCAAGTTCTGGAGATTCTGGTTATCGCTGAAAGGTGAAGGCTCGAGAACGATCTTCTCAAGAAGTTCAATAAGCTCGAGAGGTAGATCATTCTCAAGGAAAGCAGCAACGGCCACGGAGACCTTCGAAGGGTCATTAGCCTCAGGAACCGCGGTCGCGGTGACTTGGTCAACAACAGATCGTCGGTGAATGTTGTTCTCGCTCAGCACGAAGCCCCACAGCTCATTATCAGATCGCTCCAACAGATATCGCGCCTGGGCTCGGTACATGGAGTTCTCATTTGTGATGTTGACGAGCTCCAAGTCATTTTGTCCCTTGGAGTAGGCAATGTAAGCCAGGTTGGGGTCACGCTTCTCACAGTACTTTCCGACTGTCAAGGTATCATATTGATCGTTTTCTTTCAGGAACTTCTCCGGGTTGTTGTTGGAATCGATATAGATCTTGGCAAGAGCATTGAAAACAGCTTGCTGCTGGTTACCCTCGTTAAGGGTCTTCTCGAGGAAGGGCAAGAGAAGCTTTAGTCGGTTTCGAGACTCGACCTCAGAAACAAGCGAATCAATGCTGATAGCCTGTGCGTTAACGGTCTGCAACAACTGCTTGATGACATTCTCGTCGCAGTCGACATCCAAAAGGCCTCCGATGACTTCGGGAGCTCGTGTAGGGTTCACAGACTGGACGTAGGTCTCAATAGCAGCAAATTGTTGGTTCTGGTACAGGTACAGAATCAGGTCGTGAACAAAGTTGAAACGATCGCAGACGATGATCAGAGGAAGCTGCTCGGGCAGCTTAGCTTCCTTAAGGAAGTTCTTGACCTTCTCTGGGTTGTACACGTTACTATCGCGGCACAATCGCTCAACCTCGTTAAACTGGCCCATCTTGGTAGCAGCCTCAATGTACTTGAAGTGCACGTCGGGGTCCTCAGATAGGTTCACAATGCTACCGAGGTAGTAGAACAGACCCTCAGCAGTCTTGTACTTTTCGAAGAGATCAATCAGGCGAACAGCTCCCAGGAGGTCAGAGTACTTGGTGGCGATAGTAACCACTGACTGCAAGTTTTGTCGAATGTTCGTCTTCATCATGGCATCTAGACAATCAAGGGATTGCTCAACAGAAAGCTTGCCGAAGAAGGTGGTGAGCCAGTCGGGGTTGAAGTTGGGGGAGCCAGGAATGTTGACAATGACGCGCTTAATGGCTTCGGGGTCCTCATAGAGCTCCAAAGCCTTCTGAGGAAGATTAGCCTGCTCGCAAAGTTGGGCAATGCGAGACTTGTCGAAGTGAGTGAACATCTCATTGCCCAGAATAGCCTCGGCAACTTGAGGAGCATGCATGAGATTCATCTCCAGCAGTCGGGTCTGAAGACGGGCATGTTCAGGCTTGTTCTCCTTCAGCGCATCAAGGAGGAAGGCAGTGGCTTGTTGGATCATACCCTGTCCTTGGAAGATGTCGCAAACACGCTCCAAATCAACCAAGGAGCCCTGCTCGTTATTAGCCAGAGCACTAGCAAACTCGGCACCCTTCTCAGGGTTGATACGAATGATGTGCTGAAGAAGTTGGATATAATCAGGTTGATAGCCGGTTTGAGCCGAGTACGGGAGAATCTTATCAAACTGGCCTGTCTCAGCAAAACCAGCAACAACCTTTGCGGGGACCTCCGCCTTAAGGTAAATGGTAAGGGCCATGTTCATATCGTAAGGACGGACCAAGTCTCCGAGCGCCTCAGAGCAGTCCAACTTGCCCTCCTTCAACCACTTCTCAAGCAAATGCTTGCGGTTCTGCTGGAGAACAGGCTGTGCAAGCTCGAGGGTCTCCTCACGGTTCAAGGCGCCCTTGTCCAAAAGCATACCGAAGTATTGAAGTGTGAAAGCCATCTGACCAGGTTGAACAGGAAGGCGCTTGAACTTCTCAATAGTCTCGGCGCTTCGCAGGAATCCTCGTGGGGAGTTGGCGGCAACCTTAGCAGCCTCCAGATAACTTCCCGCGTTGAATAGCTGCTCGAATTGGCGGGCATAAAGGTTGTCAGCACCGGGAAGTCCAGCTCTTGAGGCCATCTTGATAGCCATCTCTGAGTTGGCCGGGTTCTGAAGAAGATACGGGATGATGTTGTTGTCGTCGATGGTCACGAAAAGAACTTGACCCTTTCGGTTGATGCCAACGATACCAGAGGAGCCGTCGTCCGTGCATGTTGTGAAAATCGTCTCGCTCGAAATTCGGTTCATGTAGATGCACGAGGCAGTCTCAAGATCATAAAGGTGGATAAAGCCGTACTTGGTCACCATGTAGATGACGCCGTACTTCTGAGAAACCTGGAGAGCGACGGGGAAATCGTTGGTGGCTTCGGGGGGGAAGAACATGTCAACCGCCTTCTTCTGGAAAACTGGATTCGACTCGGGGTGGTCGACCTCGACAATGTGAAGCTTGGCGCCGGTTGCCGTTCGTACAGCGAAACTGAAGAACTTGGTATCTTGGGGAGCACCTTCTAGGCGAAGGGTACCGAAGGCGGCGGCGTGACCTTCTATGGCCTGGCTGATTCCACGATCTTTGGAGTAGAGCTGCATGGCACCAACCACACGGCCCTGCTGGGATGAAATACCAACGACTACCATCCACTTGCCATCGCTGTTGACTCGGTAGTTGATGATCTGGCAGCCCTGAAACTTTGTTAGCACTAGAATGCCATATTAGTGGCGGATGAAAGCGGCTCACGTTGAGGTTATCATTGCGCTGGAAGACCTTGACGGGGGCATCTTGACCCGCATCGTAGACATTCCAGTGGAAGACGCTGGTTGTTGTGACAAGACCAAGCTCGTTCTCGCTGATCCACTTCCAGAATTGGACATCCTCGTTCATGGTGCAGGACTTGAGCTTCTTCTTTTGCTCGAGGTCGAAGATCTGCAGTGTTCTAGACTGAGCCTTGAGAGCAATAACCTGTCGGTTCCAGTGCATGATGGCACTGTCGGCCTTGATCGGCCGACGGGTGACGTTGTTGCCATTCTTGAGCTCAATAATAACAACCTCAGGTTGGGCAGCTTCGTTCTTCTTCTCTCGCACACACACGTAGGAGTCGGACTCGAGTGTCTAGCTTCTAGTTAGCTCATGGCCTTGCTTATCGCGACCGAGTAGCTGGTGGCAGTTTGTGGGACATACGCAGGAGTTGAAGCCAATGCTCTGTGTGTCCACGCCAACATTGGCGAGCTGGACAAGCTCCTGAAACTTGATGGGCAGGGTCGGCATGGCGCCGGTGTGGCCTATGATGAGGTAAAAGGGACCTTTCTCAAATCGACGCTCCTAAGCTCGAGTTCGGTCGAAAGACTGGGAAGAAGAATTGGTATCGATCTCGGATCGATCGTCAGTAATTATGCCGGGGTTGCCTAAGGTTGGCGCAGTGTGAGCTTCCATATGCCGCGTGGCAGGAGACAATATTTCGAAGTAAACAAGCGCGAGGAATCGAAGGGAAAGAAAACAAAAGCGACGACGTGGAGATGCGAATTCCACTGATGGGCACAGGCGAATTAGTCGTCGAGAGGGAGGATGAGCAATGGGTGGTGAGGGTGTGTTTTGGTTAAAGGAGAGATCAAGAAGAAGGTTAGGTTAGGTCCAGGTCACTTTGGGTTACGTTACCTGTTCTGTTTGGAAGGAGCCACAGGTACAGCTGCATTGAAGTGGAGAGTGGAGGTGCAGCACTGAGCCAGAGCAGAAGGTACGTACCCTCTATTGAAATACGGCGTGCCTTGAGCTAGCGTCCACTGGCTCGCACTGGCCCGGCGTGCCAATGCTGACAGCCTATTTCAGGAGCCAATAATTAGCAGCATGGCGCCTTGATTTTCCGAGCCGGCCGAGATTGAGTCAAGCAGGCTTTCGTCATCAACAAACAGGCGCCAATCGATCAAGGAAAAGGGGGAGCTTGAATCACTGTCGAGATTACCCTGAACCCATCAATTGAAATGATTTAGCAGCTTCACCACGTGAAGCTTTAAACTGAGCTAGTGAGTGACATCTTGCTATGATACTGGTTTCTGGCTTGAAGCGAATCTCTTTCTAATTTTTGTCAAAATTTGTGGTCAAGCTCATTCTGGTTGAGAGATTGGCTGTAGCTTGTAACACAACAGCTTGAGCTCAATTATAGCATGCTGCATGTGCAAACAGGTCTGACAGGGACACCCGAAAACTGGTCATAAGGTTTATGGAAATAAAAGAACAAACCCGAGAAATCGTTTACCCCCATCTATAATCTGGAATCATACTCAGTAAACCATACCCCCTGTTATATGACTTGATGGAATCTCGAGAAACTATTCCAAATACACAACAACTTATTCAGGCAAACCATATCCTCATTCGTTTAATATGTGCCAATCCGTATCCAAACACCCTTTAAGAACTTAAGTTATGCGCCCAATCTCAAACATATGAAACAAATCAACTTCAACATCCAACTATGACAGATGTTCCCGGTCAATATGATGTGTAACAGCCGCCTCATCTCCCTCAAATCCTTCGCAAAACGGACACTTGACCGTCTCAACACCAGCACTCGGAGCACTCCCCAAACCTTCATCGATATCCGGTATGAAATCCGCCAAACTTCTTGGCGGAGGCCCAGTAGCAAACTCATCGTCTCGCCTCACATCCGTGTATCGCATAGTAAATCTCGTTGACTGCGACTGACTTCCTGTCTCTCCCGCCGCTGCAGCTGTGTTGCCCATTCTCTGTACTCGGCCCACCTGGCCATCCTGTAGTCGTACTTTGATACCTCGTGGATGATTGCCCCGCGTGAGGATATCCTGCACTATTCCTTTTGTCTCTTCTCCTGTGGGCTGATCTTCTTTCAGAATGATGAATACTGAAGCTCCAGGAATGACTTGTTGTACTGTTGGGACTGTGCCTGATGCTTGCTGTGGTGTTGCAGGTGCGCGAGATGGCCTTGATGAGCCTCCTCGTTGGTTATTCTGCTGTTGACGTGGGGGGCGAGGTTGCCGATTTCGAGGCCGATTTGGCCGATTCATCGTTGCAAAGAAGAATGCTGAGCCCTTGGATAATACAAAAGTGGCTTGTCTTGCTGCCCAAAAATGAGATGGCAAATAAAGCAAGGCCTGGGGGAACGCAATATTGGTGAGGTTAAAGCTGATTTGATGATGCATGAGTAACAAATGAGGTATTGAATCTTTCTCTTATGAAAAAAGTTACCCTACAGCAAATCGTGACACAGCAAAAGCACATATCACTTACAAACACAAACACAAACACAAACACAATCGACATTCGGATTAGACTAGAGTGAGAATAAAAGACTGATTTCATTGTAATGATATAATTAAGCTGAGATTGTCATACTTGGTACTTATTGGCCCTAATCAAATGACCTATACCGTTCACTACCTCAAACCGGCCATTCTATGTATGCTTGAAATCCACATCGTGCTTGAACCTCAGAACTTTTGCTATTTTCTCTTCAAGCTTCATCGGAGACAGGGGAAGGGGCGGGCTTCTTCCTAATATCCTTCCATCCCATTCCAAAAGATGTAAGAACCATGGCACAAGACGTGCCTACAGCAAGCAGAAACGTCGCACGTACACCTCTGGAGTATGACCACAAGACCTGAGGCAAATCCGCTCCGGATACAACGTCACTGACTGCTCCAGCACCGGCATCGATGATCATGTCAGCGTTGATATCGGGAAGTCTTCTGACAAGCTCATTGCGAAGCTCATGAGTGAAAATGACATTGGCAGCTGTGATAAAGATGGCACTGCCAAAAGTCTGCGAGAAAGTCAAGATTGCCATGGCTATAGGAGTAACATCAGCACTTGTGTTCGCCTGGATGGCGATAATGGGCATCTGTAAGCCGAGACCACGACCAAGACCTAGCAAGATCTGATAACCGGCCCATGTAGCTGTGGAAGCGTAGGGGCCCATGGAAGAAGCCAGACCAAAGCCGATAGAAGAGAGAACACCGCTGGCTGTGGCGAATGGAAGGTAGTAGCCAACTCTTTGAGCTGCTGTCTGTTAGCTGAGTGACTTCAGGTTCTCTGCCAAGGTGACTTACCAAGAGCGCCACTTGCGACAGCTGCAAAGATAACGCTGAGAATGCTGGGCAGAAGATTGACACCACTAGTGAAAGGTGAAGCATTTTTGGCCGATTGGAAATAGACAGGAAAATAGTACGATGCCACCATCACCGTAGAAAACAGAAAAGACTGTGACAGACACGAAGCCCAGACCTCTCTTGTGCGTACAATTGGGAGAGGAATCATGGCCTCTGAGCCAACGCGATGCTCCCAGTATATAAAGATGATGAAAAGAACACCGCCGCCACAAAAGAGTCCAATGACAGTTGCAGAGTCCCAAGGATACTCAAGACCTCCCCATTGAAGGGCCAGAAGCAACATCACTATGCTAGGGCAGAACAAGACGAAGCCGGTGAAGTCGAGTTTCGTTTTCAGAATCTGCATAGCGCTTTCATCTCTATTGGCTCGATGATCAGGCATATGGACGAACAGAATCAGAACCGCGCAGATGGCGCCGATGGGAAGGTTGATGTAAAAGCCTAGATGCATTGTCAGTATTTGTAAAAGTCTTGAACAACGATGAACATGACTTACACCATCGCCAAGTGCTATACTCAGTAAAAGCGCCTCCTACCAAAGGGCCACTGATGATTCCTAGCTGAGCAAACCCCATGATGATACCGACGAGGGACGGACGCCTATGAATAGGAACCGCCTTCGCAATCATAGTAAGAGCACCATTTTGGATACCAGAAGAGCCTATTCCAGCAACGGCTCGGCCAATAATCAACATAGTAGACGACTGGGCTACGCCGCAAATAAGACTGCCAACTTCGAACACGAAGAACAGCGCTAAGAAAGTCCACTGCAGTGTGTGAGAGTCTGTACTATAGGTTGGGCTGGAGATTACTCACTCTTGTGTTGAAGTACATGTATATTTTGCCGGTAAGTGGTTGTAGGGCAGCACTGTGACATATCGTGGTCAGCAAATGTTGGAGGATTTAACCTAGCGCTGACCCTACCTAGCAAGGTTGTATGCACTGGCATACCATCCTATGTCTGGTAAAGAATGAAAGTCCGAAGTTATGCGTGGAACAGCCTAAATATCCTTAGTATCGAGTGAAACTCCAAGGACTGAATGTGGAAATTACCGTTGAGATGATGGACATATCCAGCAGCATCAAGAATGCAGCAAGCGTAAGAGATATCATCATGCTTGCAAGCTTCCATCCCGATATCCATTCGGTTTCCTCCTCCTCTGTTGTGAGTTCGCCATCGCCATCGCCATCTTCTGATTTCTTCGGCTTCTCGTCTTGAGTGGGTTCGTTCAAGGTCGGTGTATCTGAACGCGATCCGGTCTTTTCATCGTCGCCGCTGATGAGATGAGGCTCGCTGCGCTCTGTCTTTGATATCGGCGTAGTCATATTATCACATTCAAAGATAGAACTTCAAATAAGAATGCAGAGTTGGTTGAGCCTCGAGGCTTTCAAAAAGTTGCCTGGCATCTTGGGGACACCGCATTCTTAAACAATTTGACAAAACAGCCATATAAGACATAAGCACAGTCTCTCCTCAGGAGTTGGTAGTGTAATTTCTAGTCCAGGGTTCATTTGTTGTGGTGTTAAGGCTGAATGTGGTGTCAACGGAGTTGGCTGTCACTTCTGGAACGGAATTCCGCCCAACCATTGAACTCGCAGAACTAATTGGACCATGCTCCTTTCTTGGTGCCTTTTCCCAGATGGATTCGGTGCAATATTATTTCCCGGTATCCATTCGTTAAGATACTGTACTAAAACTCCCATGGGCCAAAAACGTCGCCCATCCAAGTTACATCACCAAAATCAATCATATTAATGTTCGCCATGTCCATGGTTGCCTGAGCCGTTGATGGTGGAGGAGGCGTTGGCACCGACGGACCTGCTCCTGGATTTGTCTGCATCGAAGATGCATTTCTTAGGTGTCGTGATAGTGTAGGTTCCCATGAAACTCGGATGTTGTTCATAATCTTAGCCCCCATGGCAAACACCGTTTCTTCACCTTGGCTTGTTTTCATCTTATAGACAGAATCCACCCGTGTGAAGAGTTCAACGACTTGGTCCAGTAGTACAAGCAAGTCTGCCGTATTTCGGACAAACTCCTTGTCCCAAGCAGGGTCTTCTGACGTAGTAAGTCGATAGAGGGCAATCTGAACTTGTGACAGCTGGATATAGATTGCAAAGGGTGCTCCTGGAACATTTTCTGGAGGTATGTCAAAGAAAACATTGTACCATGATCTTATTGCTTGAAGGCAAGAATACATGCTTTCAATTCGCTGATTGACTGGTATGTTTTGCATAAAGAGCCCGACGGAGTTGATTTGAATCTCTGTCGCGAGCGAATGTGCTTGCAAAACCGCTGGAATCTGTCAGTATGCTTTGCGCCATGAATGCATTTTAGACTTACGGGTTATAGGCATATTCGCTGGCAATCCGTCTCGGACTGCTTGGAGTTTGGCAAGCAAACTCTTTCTGAAAACATATGTAGGCGCCGAAGATGACTCGCCCATGACATCTCGAACGAGCAGTTTCTGTGCCTCGTCTGCAACAAGCTGATACCTGACAAATGTGGCCAGAAGCTCGTCCGATGGCCATAGTTTGTCTCTTTCAAGAGCTTCCAGGCAATCACTCATATGCGGTGTCCATTGAAGAGGATCCATCTTGCCGACGAATGATGACATGCTACAAAGGTCAATAAGGCTTGTAATCTGAGGGAATGCTACTTACACTGAAGTCAAAAACCACAGTGACACGACAGCTCGCCTTTCTTCTTGAGTGCGTAACCGAGGTGGAGGGGGTCGTCCTCCCCACATCTTGAAACATATTGTGAAGTACTGTTCTTCAACAGGGGCTTTGGTAAGACCGAGATCATATGCAAGTAGTACAGCCATTTGGCAAAATGTGATGATAAACGGCCTGCCTGGACTTGAAGTGGTGGCAGCCCTAGATAGCTAGTGTCAGAACATGCTACGATGAGAGAATGTTGGTGATTAACTAACCAAGCAATGTAACATATCAGTCCTTGAAGGCAGTCCATAGATCTCTCATGGTTTATGATAATTCTCGTGGCGATTTCTTGGCGTACTTGATCTTTCATCTTCATCTGCTGCTCAACACACATGGAGGTGATGTTCATAATACATAACCACAAAAATGGCTTCTCTTTCCGGAGAGTCGCGGCTGTTATATCTTGTGGTAGAATCATGCAAGGAAAGTTCTTGAGCCATTGTTGGAATTTTGCCAGACACATTTCAGCCTCTTCTGGGGTGGGATCAAACGAGGTGGAGGCATCTTCACCAATGCTGGATGGGGAGGTATTGGGGTTGGTATTGGCTGTGCTTCTTGAATCATAATTATGAGACACAGGATACGGACGAGGATAAGTTTCTGAGGAGGAAGAGGAAGCTGCAGCAGTCGCTAGTGATTCTAACCGACTAGTGAGGTGACCCATGTTGGAGGAATTCATCAAGGGGCTTGAGTCACAGGGACCTGCCGAGTGCAAATGCCCATTTGACGGCTGAGAAGCGCGCAGAATAGTGACGAGGTCTTCAAGTTTCTCTTCAAGCTGAGCGGTTCTAGAAGACGTTGACTTTTTGGCAACCCGTTTGCGCGAGGTTGCCATTGGCTGACATGGCTTGCCGAGACGATGGCACCTTTCACAATCCTGGCCAGAAGCTCTCAAGATACACTTGCATTTAGCTCTTTGACATGCAGTGCAAGCTCTTCCATAGCCAGCGGGAGTCCCTGTCGTACTAGAGGCTGCAGAGCCTGACAGTTCGGGTGGTGCCATCTGTTTAAGGTTGTGTGACTGCTACGCCAAGAGATCTCGCGTACGTAAACAGACAGACAAACAAACAAACAAAGGAAGAAGTGATGAACAAATTCCGGTTGCGCAGTAGGGCTGATAGGAATTCGAGAAACAGTTTTGAAGGGGTTTGGTATGGGAATTGAAGGAAACCGGAGTTTAGGAATGCCGGGGGTTAAGATGACGGAGTTCGGAATTCGGTTAAATCCGTATTACTATATCCAAGCAGTCGCAATTCTATGATGACCCGAAGTGCAGTCGATGAAGCCATTGATTCGGAGAGATTTAGCCAGATCATCATGTATTATCAATCAGAATGGCCCTGGGATGTTTTCAATATGTGATGTGAATGATTCCGTTTTCAATCCAATCCCTACGGAGTCTGGCCAGCCCTATTGAGGTAGGTTACGCCGGAAAATTCACTTAGTAGGTTGTTAGCAGTAGTTAGCAGTAGGTTGTCCCTTCCCAACATGAGCTACCTGGCTAGGTAGTGTGGGACCTCATAGACCTCTCTCCTTTGCATCAACATTTTCCATTCGTTCAACCAAAGTACAAACAAACACTACAGATCCGTGGTCAAACATGTCGCGATTAATGCGATCGATTGGGTATTCCCATGCGACAGTCTATGAAGGTCCTGAATTGTCTTTCCTCCCCTAGTCACTCCCAAGCTCTCTGCCGCCAACAAAGCTACTGAAACCCCCAAAATCACTCTAGAGATGGTTTACAAGCAACAGAAGCAAATATTATCAGCAGTCCAAGAACTTCAGCGATATCGTAAGTCACTAAAATAGCATATTAAAACTAAGATTTTAGATATCTAACTGTTTTCTGGGTGATTAGCAGCATTATAAACAATCCCAGCGAGTTTTGAAAGAGAACCAACGACATTGGTTACTAAAGTTCTATTCGCGTCTTGATTCTAGATTATACCAAGCACTTACAGTAAGTTTTCCTGGATATTTATTATTGTTTAATACTAATGATTGATTTCTTAATGTTTAGATATCGACACTAAAGGTTCTTAGAATCCTATCGTCAGTCACTAAGCATTACCTCTTGACCTGCCCATTCATTGTTCTGCTCTAGGAATTATATATTGGGCTCTATATGGTTACTTCTACCGGCAGAACCCGTTATACACAAGCATGGTCAGCCCTTGTAAACTCCAAGGTGTTCAAAGAAGGCGAATAAGCGATGTGACTCGAAGGAGGAATATTTATCTTAGATTGAATTCAAGACAATCGATTCGAGCAGTATTGACCTTATCCAAAGAATAGGGGATAGCAATATCTTTCGTTGTTTGCTTCCTGGTATCAGATCTCAGGGTTACATTACAAGCCAAATCCGCCTTCCCTTAATTGGTCGTGAAATCAACCAGCACGCCCCTTAATTGGCTGGACATATCTTAGCTTCAGGGGCCAATCAAAGCCGGTGTTTCCCGCTCTTCTCAATTAACTAACGTCACAAGCGTATCTTGGGCTCACTTTACCTTGTAGATTTCTTCTCAACTCCATCTTCATCGCCGACATCGCAGTTCCCGATAACCATAGTCAACCCGACAAATATCAACATGGCAGTCCCGTCTGTCGCAGCAGCTGAGATGCTGCCTCGATTCCTTCTTCCTCGGCTGAGCTGGGGCGCTCCGCTCTCCGTTTCACGGGCGACCCGGCCATTTGCCTCTATCCCTTCTAGCGATCAAAGGAGGTCATTCGCATCAATCCAGGCTGGTCCTGTTCCTCGACGCCGCTCCCCTCCAGCCGAAAGCCCTATTCTAAAGCGAGCATTCCATGCGACAACCATCAGGCAACGAGATCACCACTTCGATACGCTCAAGTTTGTTAAGCGGTTACAGGGTGAAGGGTTCACTGAGGAGCAGTCGGCTGCAATGATGAAGGTGCTGAACGATGTCATTGAAGAGAGGTGCGCCCTATATTTCGAGCATATACCATGTCCATACTAACCGACCATACAGCATCCAAAATCTCACCAGGACAATGGTGCTCCGCGAAGATGCAGCAAAAGCAACGTACACTCAAAAGGTCGACTTTGCCAAGCTGCGTTCCGAGCTTCTATCCGCCGATTCCACCGAATCCAACACGACGCGCACAGCTCACGAAAGATTGACAAACGACATTGCCAAGCTCAGTAACAGACTGCGCGACGAGATCAGCCGCACACAAGCCAGCGTGCGCCTCGACCTTAACTTAGAGAAGGGCCGTATTAGGGAGGAGGCTGTGGGCCAAGAGCTCAAGATCAAGGAGACGGAGACAAAGATTGAGCAGGAGGTTGCTGCGTTGAGGGAGAAGCTGGAGCAGGTCAAGTTCCAAACGCTCCAGTGGCTTATGGGTGTGTGCACCGGTTTCGCAGCGCTGTTACTTGGTGCTTGGAGATTGCTCATGTAAAACATGGGTGTATTGTATGGGTGTTGGCTGGAGTCAGGCGGGCTGGAGTTGTATAAACAGTGTCATGGTTCACCTTAACCGATAGATTTTCTAGTGTCCGAAATCAAATTTGTGCATAACATACCACTTTTGCCAGCTTGAGCTGATGCCAATCGGATCAATTCAATTTTCTCTAACAACTCCTCATACCTGAGTACTCTATAGTGTTGTCCTTGTTTCGGGTTTCATGGAAAAGAGCTTTCAGGGCGCCTTTTAACAACAACTTCAAGGACTCAACAGAAGACACCCCGCCCCCG